CCCGCCTGGGTGAGGCGGGAGGGAGTGTCAGACTCTTACTGACTAAAAACCACCCCGTTCCTTCTCCTGCACGTCGAGCCGGAGCCCCGGTTACCCGTTAGGTTCTCCGCGACTCCGAATCGGCATCGGCCCTATTGGGCCCCATCTGTGGTGGTCTGATGGCTCTTTGAGGCGCGCGCGGAACGCGACGCGCCGTACGCTCGGGTCTGTTTCTGGTCGGACGGGGAGCCACCCATGCTCGCCGTCCGCAGGCCCGCGCTTACGGTGGCCGGAGATCGTAAAAATTTTAAGAATTTGTTTTTACGCGTTGCCCCACACTAAGTTTTTCTTCGTGTCGTCGTGTGTCGTGTGTGCGTTTACAAACATACAAGTTCACATACACATGACACCCAGACCCGGAACAATAATTTGTGGATCACACAGACAGTTGTTTCGTGCGGGAATCGAACCCGCCACACGTTGCGCGGCAGCCGGTTGCCCAGCCACCGGCGCCAACCGTGCACGGTCCGACGTGTAGGTACCTATATATATTATAAAGCCGAAGAGTTTGTACGTTTTAGGCCAGGACTCCGCCAAAGCTAAGACGAGCGAAGATGTGTTATAATAACAAATCATAAATCCATATCTTCTTCGGTATAAATCTGATAGGTTATTCAAACACATCTCCGCTTGTCTCAGCTTTGGTGGAGTCTCGGCCTAAAAACCCAATCCGTAATAGGTAGGTAGGTAGGTAATAATATATTATTGCAGGGAAAACTAAGAACACACTATTGTGTTCAAGACATTCGTTTTCCCACCACAACACAAGATTTAGAATACCTACATAATTATGACATTGAACACTTAAGAAACAAACAGCAATAAATTAACTAAGTATAGGTATTTACAATCACAAGCCTACTAAATACTACTAGGACACACTGCAATGAATAAACTGTAGGTACTTACATACAAAATCCAGCATCTTCCTCGCTCGACTACTTTTTAGTTGTATTGACATCGCCGAAACACTATTCGGTATAACTTTATTTATTATTACACGTATAATATTCAATATTAGGTATACTTAATTACGATTAATTGCTAAACACTTCTTTTTAACTCGGAAATACAAATTGTTACGTGCTGTTGTCTCTGAGCGGCGCGTGAGTTATGAAAACTAAACAAACAATCCCCACCCGCGCATGCGATGTAAGGGTAAGTACCTAGACCTTTCGACTTGTTTATGTGACGCGTCCGTGATTACTTCCTCCAATTTGATCAAATCTCGAATGGAAAAAAGGCGTAAGCATGATTATTTCGAAATTGTGTGCGAGTGCACCCGTGAACATAGAAATACGGCTTTTTTTGTTTGATTATTTTTATTTGTGATGGGATGTAATCGGTATTATTTTAAGAAAATCGTTTTTTTATGAGGCATTAAAAAGCTTAATACGAGATAATAATTATAGGTTTTTATTTTATTTGATGGAACAAAAACCTAAGCATGATTAGGTTTATTTTAATGAAATTTAATTTGTTTATGTTGGTTTATCGACTTTATTATTTGAAAAAATATTGAAGTTAAATGACGCCAAATTTATTGTTTTTGTTATAAAACCTTCATTTTAAGTCCAAATTGAACGGAAAAAATTGAGCGCATGTATCTTTACTTAAACTATCCAAAACAGCAATAAAAAAATATTGACGTATGTGCACTTACGTCTTTGTTGATCTGGGGGTGCGAACTGTCAAACACCAAGCGGTCACCGGTGACCGCAACCTATTGTTCTATAATTGTGTCTATAATGACGGTACTCGACGAATTAAATCGCTCAGTATTAAGCTTATAATAGTAAAACGTTATGTGGATTAGTGAAACATTTTAGTTGTTTCTAGACATGAGTGACTAGATCACGTTTGTTTGGCTAAGTAACAACTTTATAAGTATTACTAACGATACGCCCCGGCTTCGCACGGGGGTAATATGCATGTATTATACACATAAATCTTCCTTAAGAATCACTCTATCTATGAAAAAACCCGCATCAAAATCCGTTGCGTAGTTTTAAAGATCTAAGCATACATAGGGACAGACAGACGGCGGATAGAGACTTTGTTATATACTATGTAGTGATGTTTGTTTAGTTTCTGGGCCCTCATAAACTCATAAAATGCATCGTGATTAACCTCTTAACTGCCGGTATATAAGACACAATAGAAAAAACAATGTGTCTCGCGTAGAACTACATTCTGACATACCACAGGTTAATTAGCAGAGTAATTAATATTTGTAATTGCATTAACACTACACGGCAGAACACCCTAATGTAAGAAAAAATAAGATACTTATTTATCTCTAAGGTACCATACCTCTTCAGCAAGCATGAATAAATAGTTGACGACATGTTCGGGTTTCCCGGCGAACTTCTTCCTGAGTACTGGATCCTGTGTCGCTATACCCACGGGACATGTGTTCAGGTGACACTTCCTCATCATCGTGCAGCCTGGGGAGGTGGGATCAACAGTTAGCTTTACAATTTTCAGAGTGTGGTTCTTTCGTCGTTAAATTAGTGACTACGAAGAAAACACGTGCAGTTGTGGACTGAACGACTGCTAATAAAAGAGTTAGGTAAAGAGTATTGTATAATTGGGTATTTGCCTTAATCAAAAATAAATTGTTTTGACAGTTCAATACATTTAAAAATATTCAAAAATAATCACACTTTCAGTAATTGATTTCATGACCAACTTCATTTTAGTATTTTTCCAGGATTTTTTTAAGAAATAAGTATGCTATTTGACGTGAAATAAACGTGACGTCACAATACACAATCTCCTATATAAAATTCATAAAATACTATTGTATACGAAAAAAGTATTGAATTTGGCGTTTCAACTTCCAAAAAATCTTATTTATTATGTTTGAAGTTTTGTCTACAACATTTAACATGTGCACCATACTTTTATTTCTGCCCTTACTCAATGAATAACTAATGTCGAACTCACCAAGTGCAATAAGTGGTGCAGTACTGAATCCGAACTCGTCAGCACCGAGCAGTGCGGCGACCATCACGTCGAAACCTGTTCTGATCTGACCGTCAGCCTGGACTACCACTCTGTAATAAAATAAATTATTATTAGAATTGAAGACAGAGAAGAAGAAGGAAAAGAGAGGTGGGGGTGAGAGAGATGGAGGAAAGAGAAAGATACCGAGAGGAAATCTGGCTTCGTTACTGTTGAGTCGGCTCCACCGTAGTGATACCACGGCCTCACAGAAATCAGTTGTGAAACAACAACCACCTATCCTATATACCATAAATAAGTACATAGTGCACGTACCTAGACCTCAAGTCGTTAAGTACGAGTACTTGATGTGTCTCGGCGACGCCCAGCTCCCAGGGCAGGCCGGCGCTCTTGATGCCGGTCCATGAACTGGCGCCGGTACCGCCGTCATGGCCAGAGATCACTATGTGCTCGGCTTTACCCTGGAGAAAGAACAATGTGTAACGAAAACGAAATTCTCGTGTGGTAGACGAACTTTTATATACTATTCACTTCAAATCTTTCAAAAACTACCTTAGCCACTCCCGAAGCGACAACACCAACGCCGACTTCAGAGACAAGTTTGACAGAAATCCTGGCTCGAGGGTTGGCGGCCTTCAGGTCGTAGATGAGCTCTGCCAGGTCCTCGATGGAGTAGATGTCGTGGTGAGGCGGCGGGGAGATTAGACCTACGCCTGGTACTGAACAACGGGTCTTTGCTATGTCTTCTGTCACTTTGTAGCCTGGAATTTGAATAATACGGTGGTAGGTGAATACTTTGTTGCTGTGGTTATCAAAATAAAAAGTCAACTAATGTTCAACATGGAAATTAGTTGCTACTTAATTGATTTTGGAAGGAAATTGTGTAAATTAATAAGTTTCAAAAACCCAAGGTATAGACTGGGTTCACGTTTGAAATAAAGACAGATTAGTAAACATTTCTCTCGTAAGATTCTCACTTCAGACATCGTTCTGATTAGAAATACATGATTATTTAGTAGTAAATCATTAAGTCAATCTTCTAAATTCCTCGAGAATATTGTAGTTATTATCTGCTACTAAAATATATAAGTATGATAACGTACCAGGCAGTTCGCCGCCTTCCCCAGGCTTGGCTCCCTGCGCCATCTTGATCTGCAAGTCGTCCGCGTGAGCGAGGTACGACGCGGTCACTCCGAACCGACCCGACGCTACTTGCTTGATGGCTGAGCGCTTGTTGAAATCGGGGTCCTAGGACAATCATTGATATTGATAACTACGTAATTTTAAAAGAAAATATTGCTAGAGAAAAGTTTCGTTTTTAAATCAACTAATCTTTGTGTTTATGCAATTTATTTACGTCATGACGACTCTAATACTAATTACATAGGTAGGAACTCAACTAGTTTCGAATCTAACCAGAACCCTTAGTCATTATTCAATTGTGACAAATGTTCTAGTTGTTATTAAACGGTACATTTAAATTATAATTAGTAGGATAAATCACTTACCTGGTTAAGATATCTGTCAGCATTCTCTCCACCTTCTCCAGTGTTAGATTTACCGCCGATACGGTTCATAGCTATGGCTAGTGTAGTATGCGCTTCCAGAGAAATGGAACCGAATGACATCGCACCTGGAAACAAATAAGTTATTTTAATTTTGGTATAACTATTCTCATGTCTCAATCGCCTGACATGCTGTTAAAAAAGCTCGACTGTTTTCGAGCCAAATTGAGCTCCTTAATCATGAACGCCGTTGGTATTAAGTAAAGAGCAGGACATAAGCAAAGTGTGAGCTGATTGCAATGAGGTGAAAATAAATTAAGACAAAAATGTACCTGTAGCGAATCGCTTGACGATTTCAGAAGCGGGTTCCACTTCACTCAATGGGATGGGCTCATCCAGTTTCACGAGCTCCAGTTGACCACGTAGAGTACATGCTCTGATCGACTCCAAAGCGCTCTCCCTAAGGAAATTAAAGAAAGTTTTAAACTACCTATAATTTACTTGTAAAATACTTAAGCCTATGTCCAGTGGTGCATATTAATATGGTGAAATTGTAAATCTACAATGGCATAGCATGTTAAGTCTTTTCTTGATTTTTTTTTTCTAGTCAATACAGTTCTACTAATCATAAGAACCTTTTTGTTGTTCATAATAGTTTTCGTATCGTACAAGTAGTGTTACCTGTATTTATCATAAGCAGATGAGCTCTTGTTAAGTGCAGCTTCTTGTAAATTAGCGATGGACATTGGGTCGTTGATATGCTTCTCACCTCCCGCGCGCCAGTGGTAGTTACCAGGGTTCCTAGAAAAATAACAATAATTATTATTACACATTTTCTATGTGGTTTTTTTTATGGTTCTCTTGTTCATTCTGATTAGTATTTACCTCAAAACGAGTGCATCTTGAACATCTCCGTAAGTTAACGCATGTCTATCAAATATCTCCTTTGACAGAATCTCAAAGTTAACTCCACCTGTGGGACAAACAAGCAAAATTAATGATCACCCCTAAATCATTTGATAAACTAATATCAATCTTAAATTCATTACAAAAATACTTGTATTCGAATGATCACATTGGTTAGTTGGAAATCCACGATTGATTAAATTTGAAACTTATTTTCTCACTTTAATGATCAAAATACAAAACAACCACTTTATCACCCAATTGAAATTGAACTTTACCACCATCTATTAAAAGATCAAAATCAACAACATATAAAATAAAACACTCACCAATCCTAGACTGGGTGCCTCTAAAGCATTTATCAATGACCTCCTCGCATAGTCCAACAGCCTCAAAGATCTGAGCACTCTTGTATGACTGTAGAGTACTGATGCCCATCTTCGCCATGACCTTGGCCAGGCCAGTCTCAATGGCTCCTTGATAAGCCTTGTAGATGTCCTCGTCAGTTAGATTAGGATCCAAAATATGGTCGTTGCGGAGAGCGAATGCTAGCTCAAAGGCTAGGTATGGGCAGATCGCGTCTGCACCGTAACCTGGGGACAAAAATTTCTTAATTATTATTAAAGTCAATATATTTTTGTTGTCTTTTTACTTATTTGTAGTAAGCTTTTGCTAACGAGTGTTTAAGCCTTTAGGCCATTTTTATATGGCATTAGGTTAATAAAGTATGCCAATTCCCGTAGAAGTTATGGTAGATCTTGTTTTGAAACGATTTACTCTCTCTAGGGAATTTATATTGCATATTTTTACTTCTTACATCTTTCAATTTCGAGTGTCCATTGAAGTCAGTCAGTCATGGAGGAGGTTTAAATACATTGATTTTATTTAATTTTTAATGTGACAATTAGTAATCAATATGCCTTACCAAGTAGCACACACATGTGATGAACTTCTCTCGCCTCCGCTGTCTCCAGTATGATGCCGACCTTCATACGCTGACGAGTCTCAATCAAGTGGTGGTGGACAGCTCCTGCAGAAGGAAAAAGTGTATTCTTATAAAATGTTTGTAGAATTTTATGTTTTTAGTTTGGGCATGAGATTTATCAAGATTAGTAAGAAGTTTTCGTGAAGATGACTTTTTGTGATTTATTGTTAAAGATGTTAGAAACAGTCCATCAAATCATTTATATTTCTTTGAACAAGTAACACAAAAATAGCAGCGTGCTGACGGGCAGCCTGCGCGGGCCGGCGGCGCGGTCGGTCAGTACGAGCAGTAGTATTATAAAGGTACCGTACCGAGCGCTAGCAGCGTGCTGACGGGCAGCCTGCGCGGGCCGGCGGCGCGGTCGGTCAGTACGAGCAGTAGTATTATAAAGGTACCGTACCGAGCGCTAGCAGCGTGCTGACGGGCAGCCTGCGCGGGCCGGCGGCGCGGTCGGTCAGTACGAGCAGTAGTATTATAAAGGTACCGTACCGAGCGCTAGCAGCGTGCTGACGGGCAGCCTGCGCGGGCCGGCGGCGCGGTCGGTCAGTACGAGCAGTAGTATTATAAAGGTACCGTACCGAGCGCTAGCAGCGTGCTGACGGGCAGCCTGCGCGGGCCGGCGGCGCGGTCGGTCAGTACGAGCAGTAGTATTATAAAGGTACCGTACCGAGCGCTAGCAGCGTGCTGACGGGCAGCCTGCGCGGGCCGGCGGCGCGGTCGGTCAGTACGAGCAGTTGGTACCCGGCGGCGGCGGCGGCGTGCGCGGTGCCGGCGATGTGGGTCAGCGCCGGCTCGAGCCCCGCCGGGCCCGCGCTGTACTCGAACGTGCAGTCGATTACCTTCGTCTGTGGACATCATAACATTTAAGACAGTAAACTTTAAAGATGCAGGTGGCGAGATGAACTTGACGCCTATAGAAGAAGGGTAGGAAGGACTTTGCCCTGCAGTGGGACGACCATTACCTTCCACCCTCGATGCGTGGTATGTTTCAAAGCATGTAGATCAGGCAGAGACAGTATGGGCTGCGGCAGGAACAGTCGATGCACGAACTCTGCGCTCGGCTGCAGGATGTTGGGCGCCGGCCCGATGGGGCATAGCAAGGACATTACTATCTTCTCCCTGTAATAAATTTAAGGTTATTGTTAAACACAATTACTATACTATGAGACTGCCTCGTTGGCAGTGTGGTCGCAAGTGTGACTGCCGGGCAAGGGGTCTCGGGTTCGATTCCAGGGTCGGGCAATATTACGATTTTTTTTAAAAAACATCTCAGTTGTAGCACGGAGTCTGGAATTGTGCCCGGTATATGGCAATAGGCTCACCCCCTATTACGTAGGACTTGTAAGACAAATAGTGAAAATTGGGTGTTACTTCTGTGTGCACCTGTGCCTACCCTTTTGGGGATAAAAGGCGTGATGTTATGATTATGAATTACTATACTAATCTATCTATTTATTACGATATTTTTATAGAGAATATATTTTTTTTTTATTGGAATAGGAGGCAAACGACGGATCACCTGACGGGAAGCGATCAGCGGCGCCCGTAGACACCCGCAACATCAGAGGAGTCACAGGTGCGTTGCCATATATGGCATTATGACAAAAATTCTGTTAGGATTTTTCGAACTTTGTATGTATATTGTATAGTCAAATGATTTCACTATAGTGAGCAGTTATTCTCAAGCATTTAGAAGAAGCATTCATTACTAAATCATTAAAGTGCAATGCAATATTTAGTTGCGCATATAATCGAAGCTTGTTTTAAGAAAAGTATATTACATTGATTGATATATTACTATTCAATTTGTCAGTTTTTGTTTTTACAAATCTTGTAAAATAACTTACCTGAACGGATCAATAGGTGGGTTGGTGACTTGAGCAAATAGTTGCTTAAAGTATTCATATGGCAATGGCTGGAACTGGGACAGGCAAGCCAGTGGAGCATCATTACCCATACTGCCCAGAGCTTCTTTTCTGGAAGGGAAGTAAACTGGTTAATATTTTTGATACACTCACACACAATATAACTAGCTTACTGCTCCTACTTCCAAGAGAAGTAACAGTGGTATTATTGACCAGTGTTTTTTAAGAATTAGTTACAGTAATGTATGGGCCTCCCAGTGGATAAAAAGGGGTCTTTAGTGCGACGACCACAGGTTATAATAATATACCCGCCCAGTTATGAAAAATATGGTAAATACTACTTCTGTAGTATTAAAAGGTTTCAGTTCAAGCTCGGTAGATGGCATTAGAACTTTTTTTAAATCATCTTATGACAACTCCCGAGATGGCATTAGAATTGAGTTTTTAGAGGTAATTTTATGCAAAATTG